AGAGGAAGACTCCCAATGGGATGGATTACACAGTGACTCCAGCAATGGGCTCAAGTGTATCACAGACTGTGAGGACAGCACAGGAGAGGACAACATTCAGATCTGATGTTCTATCTATGAGTCGAACTTGACTCAACAGCACCTAACAACAACAATCCCAATACTGGGAATAAACCCAAAGAAAGCAGAACTGTGACATTAACAGGTGGATGCATACCCATGTGTATTGCAACACTTTTCACAAGAGCAAAAAGATGGAAGCAACCCAAGTACCCATCAACAAGGGGATAGATAGAGAAACTGGCACATCTACCCAGTGGGATATTATGCAGGATGGAAAAAGCAATGAACTTGTAAAACATTCACCACATGGATGAGTCTGGAAAACATTGTTGTTATTGTTAGGTGTCATTGGATACCAATCCATAGCGACCCTGTGAACAACATATCTGAACCCCGTCCTATCCTGTGCCATCCTCACACTTCCTGGCACATTAGAGTCCATTGTGACAGTCACCATGTCAATCCACCTGGTCAAGGGTCTTCTTCTTGTTCTCCAACCTTTTCAAGTATCATCTCTTCTCCAAGGCGTATTCCTTTCTAGCAACATGCCCATAATAGGTGAGGTGAAGCCTCATCATCCTTGCCTCCAAAGAACACTCTGGCTGCACCCTCTCCAAGACACTTCTCTTCGTTCTCTTGGCGGTCCACGGGATGTTCAGCGCTCTTCTCCAACACCACAGCTCAAAGGCATCAATTCTTCTTCTGTCATCTTTATTCATTGTCCAGCTCTCAGATGCACAGCAAGTTATTGGAAAGACCGTGGCCTGAATCAGACGCACCTTAGTGCTGGAAAACATTATGCTGAGTGAATCAATGAAGTCACAAAAGGATATATACTGCGTCAGGCCGCTGTTATTACAACAGAACGAGTGAGGATGAAGAGCAGAAGAAAGGATAGATAATGAGGACTGGGCTGCAAGTAGGTGAAGAGAGGGGCCATCTGTAAGGAATGGCCCATTGGACATTAGATGTATGACAGGTGACAAACTGGAACTACAAAGTGAACTGGGGAGGAGGTGGGAGGAAAATGAGTCTGAATGAGTGAATGAAAACTTTCACCAAAATCAATTTTTTAAAAAAGACTACACCTCTCCGAGGGGGGGGAGGGGCGCGGGGGTAGTGGGAGGCAGAGGGTTCCCTGGGAGAAACTTGTCCCAGGCAGGAGCTCCGCCCCTGCCTCTTAGAGCCCTCCTGCCCCTGGACCCCCTGGAGCTAGGAGTCACACGGTGCCCCCTTTGAGGACAGGCGACAGGCTTGTTGTGTACAGACGAAATACCACTTTTCCTGCTTTTCCAGGCGGGGCTGCCTGCGTCCCACCGGCCCCGCCACTAGCTGGACACGCCCACGGGGAGGAACTTGATCCAGGTTCCTTGGTCCTCAGATGGACCCTGCGTTATGAGTCAGGTGTCCTTGCAGGATCAGGAGGCTCTGTCCTTTAACCTGCCCAGTCTGGCCCTCAGGGGTGTGGCACAGGATGCTTGGGGGAGTCCAGTGCCACGAGCCCCAGATCCCCCACCCCAGAGCCCAGAGTTCTAAGGCCTCTGCTTCTCACTCCCCCACAACCCCTGGCCACACGAGGCAGGAGGTCAAGGTGAGGGCTCCGATTCCTCTGCGCCACCCTCGTCCCCGCCCGCAGGCGCCTGGGATGGGGTCGACCTGGGAACGCCCGGAGGGAGGCGGGCGCGCGGGCCGGGGGCGGGGCGGGGCGGGGCGCCCGGGACTCCCGTCCCGCCCGCGCCCTGACTCACCCTCGCTGGCCCGGGCGCTCCGCGGGAGTGCAGGCGGCGCGGCTCCCAGGGACCCAGGAGCCGGGCCCACGACCGTCCCGGAGCGGTGAGTGCCCGCTCTCTAGCCCCGACGACCCGGGGGATGAGGTGGCAGCTTGGGGTCAGCCTGAGAGCTGGGTCTGGCCGACGGGCCGCACTACCCCAGGTGTGGCTGGCGCTGGCAATGTGGCCGGGCCGGCCCTGCGGGACACACGAGGAGCTGGGGGTGGGGTGTGGGGGGCACAGAGACCGAGCTTCAGCTCGTCCAAGGGGTGCCAGTCCAGGGAGTCGGGCAGGCTGACCAAGTGAGAGTGGAGACGGGCAGACTTGTCCCCCTTGAGGATCTGGACCACGGTCCTTTCTCCGTGATCACGGGTAAAACTGGCAGTTCATCCCTGTTAAGCCCTCAAGGCCCCTAGACCTTAGGCCTGGAACCCTCACTAGTCCGCCTTCTGGACCGCAAGACTCCCACCTCCCGTTCTGGCAAGGACAGCTTGAGAAAACCCTGGCCTCTGTCCGTGCCCCAGACGGACTGGTAGACTGTGCTGAGCCTTGCTCAGTTTCCCTTCCTGAGCTCTGTCAGCCCTTCCTTTCTGGCTCCTGAAGGTGGGGCTGGTTCAAGAGATGTAGACAAACCACCACCAGGAAGTCACTCGAGATCTCAGGGAACAATAGGAGGTGTGAAGGTTTAGCTGGAGCAGCCTGCTTCTGACCGGAGTGGAAGGTGTACACACCCGGGCCTGGGGACCACCTCGCCCGTTTCTGTGCCCAGCACAGACAAGATGCGGGCTCAGAGTGACGGGGCTTTGACAGTCGGAGGAAAGCTCTTTCTGTCCCTCAAGTCTGGAAAGTAAGGATCTGAACTTGTCGTTGTGTACCGTCAAGTCAGAACTGACCCACAGCTGACTCTCCAGCAGCTTTTCAGAGGCGGTAAATCACGTGGGAGATGCCCATCTTTCTCCCTGGAGCAGCTGGTGGATTTGGGTTGGCAGCCCAGCTCCTTACCACAAAACAAACCACCGAGCTCAGTGCTGGGATAAGAGGCCTGCATGAGGCCAGGGGATCAGGATCCACTGGGAATCTAAAGGTTGGAGGTTTGAATTCATGGAGCAGCTCCCTGGATTCAACTTCGTGACCTGCACCTGCCCAGTTGCTCACTAAGGAAGCCTTGTGGGGCAGGTCTGCACTGTAACACATGGGTGTCCGTGACTTGGACTCAGTAGCAACCGGTCTGGTCTGGTCTGGTCTGGTCTGTTCTGGTGTTTGGCTTTGGTGGGCTTAGGTTGGGGCTCACTGCTTCTGCTCTGGATCCGTGGCCCAGCCAGTCCCTCCCTCTGGGCCTTCCCACCTGTCTTGCTCAGACAAAGCGGGCGTGTGGGGGGGACAGCTATGTATCTGCGGAGACTTAATGGCAGGGTCGTGACCAGCAAGTTTGAGCCAGGAGACAGATAATGATAGTCCCTGAGCCAGCCCCCAGCTCTGTGTATGTCTGCACTAGGTTCCTGAGACCCCAGGATTTCTGATTTTAGGTCTGTCTGTGGTCTGGGGCTGTGGTGGCCTGGCTCGCGCAGCATTTTTTGAGAGGGGTCCTGTGCTTTGGTGTCCCTGGGTCTCGTCTGGACTCCCTGGGTCTCCTCTGGACTCCCTGGGTCTCCTCTGGACTCCGTGGGGACCCTTGTCTGGACCCTCTGGACCCACAGTCATTCAGTGCACACTACACACGCCCTCAAGCGTCCCTCTCTGGGGTCTGCCTCTGCGTGTTTAAGTGCTTCTGCTAGTCAGCCCGAGGTATTTCCCCACCTCTGTGTAGTCCTGTGTGGTATTTATCCGCCTGCGTGGTTTCCGTGCATGTACGTGGTGACTGGCTGTCTGCAGTGCCCCTTTGCTTGGGAATGAGTGTATGGGATGCACTCCTGGAAGCCCCACTCTGCTGGGCGTCCTGGGCTCAGTGAACCTCGTGGCAGGTGTTTGGTTCCGAATCTGACCCCCTGTGAGTTAGGGGACCCCTGAAGCATGGTGTCTACATGTGGTTAGGTGTGAGGGGTGCCCATGAGAGCCACTCCCTGTACCCAGGTGTGAACCTCTGTGGGGATAGATTAAGAGGCACCCTCCACCTTCAGGCTCCACCTGGGAGCCACCCCAAGGCCTGCTCTGAACATGGGGGAAGTGGATGAGATGTGGGGGCAGAGGGCACCTTTCCAGGAAGCAGCTGGGAGGCTGGAATGGGGCAGCTGACAGCCCCGAAGCTGCCTCCCTCCTTTGCCCAGTGTGTGTCCAGTGACAGGATGCTGGGACAAGGTCAGAAGCCCAGGAGGAGACGCCTGGGAAGCTAGGATTGCAAGGACACGGGGCCTGCAGGTGGTTCGGGACCCTCTGGAAGATGGGGGAGGTCTGGCAGCCTTCTCCTCCTCTCCCCTCTAGCCTTGGAAGAGAGGGGTCCGTAGCTGTCACTGAGATGATGTCCCAATTTGGGGCTCACATCCCCAGGGGACAGAGCGGGCCAGGCCACCTGGGTGCGGGGCAGACATAGGTGTCACCTAAGTTTCCTTCCATTTGTGATCCTCTGCCCCCGGCCCTGCCCTGCAAGCACCATGCCTCTGTTTTCTACTTCATATTCTGGGCTCTGGCCACTCTGGAAACCCAGGCGCTCTGTCACCTCCACCCCCAAAAGTGGCCAGTCTCAGTGTGGCCACTCCCCGCCCCTGGGGCCCCGTAACCAGAGCCTGGCTCCAGCCGGCTTTTCCGGTTGGAGATTGGAGGTGGTGCCCAGAGCAGAGCGCTCCTGAAAGGGGGGGGATGCATCCCTGGCTGGTCCCAGGCCCACACCCCGGAAATCTGGAAGCTTCTGGATGCTCCCAGGGCCGTGGTAGTGAGAATCTGAGCTGGCTACCTGGAGTTAGAGGGCATCAGAGGGAGGCTTCAGGGTCCCAGAAGAAGCCTCACGGGGGTGCTGAGTGGCTGGGGCCCTGCAGCCTGGCTCTGAGAGGGCCAGCCAGTAAACGGGGTCCCAGTACCAGGAGCAGAATATATGAGAACAGGTGTGCATGGCTGGAGGAGACAAGAGAGGAGGAGGGAGTCTTTCCAGGGTTGAGTAGGACAGAAGGCAGTTGTTCTTGGGGGTGCGGGGCCCTTTCCTTACTGTGTGTGTCCACTTCCTCTCCCATAGGCAGGATGATCCCCGTTGCCGAGTTCAAGCAGTTCGCGGAGCAGCAGCCCGCGTTCAAGGTCCTCAAACCCTGGTGGGATGTGCTGGCAGAGTATCTCACGGTGGCCATGCTCATGATTGGGGTCTTCGGCTGCACGCTCCAGGTGAGAGAGGGATGGTGCCCACGCCGGCAGGGTGGGAGTCCCGGGGCCAGCTGATTGTAGGAAGCCGCAACCAGAGGTTAGTTTGCAGGTCAGTCCTGACTCCTCACCACCCACCCCTTCCTGCAGCTCATCCAAGATCCCAGCCAACTGAGGCGCTTGGCATGGGGTGGGGGTGGGGGTGGCTCTCGCCAGCTTCCCGGGCCTCACCCTGCCTCGCTTCTCCCTCTCCCCCAGGTGACCCAGGACAAGATCATCTGCCTGCCCAGTCACGAGGCCCAGGAGAACTCGTCGGGCGTCCTGTGCCAGCAGCTGCTGCCTCGAGGGGTGTCCGAGCAGATGGGGGGCCTGCGGGAGGTGAGCGGCCTCAAGAACAACCTCGACCTGCAGCAGTACAGTTTCATCAACCAGCTGTGCTACGAGACGGCCCTGCACTGGTACGCCAAGTACTTCCCCTACCTGGTCGTCATCCACACGCTCATCTTCATGGTCTGTACCAGCTTCTGGTTCAAGTTCCCCGGCACCAGCTCCAAGATCGAGCACTTCATATCCATCCTGGGCAAGTGCTTCGACTCGCCGTGGACGACGAGGGCCCTGTCCGAGGTCTCTGGGGAGAACCACAAGGGCCCCGCTCCCGGGCGGGTGGTGGCGCTGCCGGCCTCCCCCGGGGCCGGGGCGGGGAAGGTCGGAGACAGTGAGAAGGAGAAGGTGCTGGCGGAGCAGCCCGAGAAGGTGGTGACAGAGCCACCAGTTGTCACCCTCCTGGACAAGAAGGAGGGCGAGCAGGCTAAGGCCCTGTTCGAGAAGGTCAAGAAGTTCCGTGTGCACGTGGAGGAGGGTGACATCCTCTACACCATGTACATACGGCAGACGGTGCTTAAGGTATGCAAGTTCTTCGCCATCCTGGTCTACAACCTCATCTACGTGGAGAAGATCAGCTTCCTGGTGGCCTGCAGGGTGGAGACGTCCGAGGTCACCGGCTACGCCAGCTTCTGCTGTAACCACACCAAGGCGCACCTCTTCTCCAAGCTGGCCTTCTGCTACATTTCCTTCATGTGCGTCTACGGCCTCACCTGCCTCTACACGCTCTACTGGCTCTTCCACCGGCCCCTCAAGGAGTACTCCTTCCGGTCGGTGCGGGAGGAGACAGGCATGGTGGACATCCCTGACGTCAAGAATGACTTCGCCTTCATGCTGCACCTCATCGACCAGTACGACTCGCTCTACTCCAAGCGCTTCGCCGTCTTCCTGTCCGAGGTCAGCGAGAGCCGCCTCAAGCAGCTCAACCTCAACCACGAGTGGACGCCCGAGAAGCTCCGGCAGAAGCTGCAGCGCAATGCCCGCGGCTGCCTGGAGCTGGGCCTGTGCATGCTGCCCGGGCTGCCGGACACGGTGTTCGAGCTGAGCGAGCTGGAGGCGCTCCGGCTGGAGGCCATCGGCGACGTCACCTTCCCGCCGGGCCTCTCGCAGCTGGTGCATCTGCAGGAGCTCAGCCTGCTGCACTCGCCCGCCAAGCTGCCCTTCTCCTCACTTGTCTTCCTGCGGGACCGGCTCAAGGTCATCAGGGTCAAGTGCGAGGAGCTGCGCGAGGTGCCGCTCTGGGTGTTCGGGCTGCGCGGCCTGGAGGAGCTGCACCTGGAGGGCCTCTTCCCCCCGGAGCTGGCCCGGGCGGCCAATCTGGAGAGCCTGCGGGAGCTGAAGCAGCTCAAGGTGCTGTCTCTGAGGAGCAATGCCGGGAAGGTGCCCGCCAGCGTGACCGACGTGGCCGGGCACCTGCAGCACCTCAGCTTGCACAACGACGGCGCCCGCCTGCTGGCCCTCAACAGCCTCAAGAAGCTGGCCGCCCTGCGGGAGCTGGAGCTGGTGGCCTGCGGGCTGGAGCGCATCCCGCACGCCGTCTTCAGCCTCGGGGCGCTGCAGGAGCTGGACCTCAGGGACAACCACCTGCGCTCCATCGAGGAGATCCTCAGCTTCCAGCACTGCCGCAAGCTGGTCACGCTCAGGCTGTGGCACAACCAGATCGCCTACGTCCCCGAGCATGTGCGCAAGCTCCGGGGCCTGGAGCAGCTGTACCTCAGCCACAACAAGCTGGAGACGCTGCCCACTCAGCTGGGCCTGTGCACCAGCCTCCGCCTGCTGGACGTCTCGCACAACGGCCTGCGCGCCCTGCCTCCAGAGCTGGGCCTGCTCCAGAGCCTGCAGCACCTGGCCCTCTCCTACAACGCCCTGGAGGCTCTGCCGGACGAGCTCTTCTTCTGCCGCAAGTTGCGGACGTTGCTCCTGGGCTACAACCACCTGAGTTACCTCTCGCCCCACATCGGCGCGCTCAGGGCCCTCAGCCGCCTGGAGCTCAAGGGCAACCGGCTGGAGGCACTGCCCGAGGAGCTGGGCAACTGTGGGGGGCTCAAGAAGGCAGGGCTGCTGGTGGAGGACACGCTTTACGAGGGCCTTCCGGCAGAAGTGCGAGAAAAAATGGAGGAGGAATGAGGCACACAGCCAGGCCTGGGCGGGTGGAGGTGGCTAGAGGCTTTGGGTGGCTGCCACCCCAGAGTCTCTGCCATTGTCCTACAAGGAGGTGGCTGCGAGGGGCCAGCCAGGAGAGGAGGGGCCGTATGTCAACCCTTGTGGGGATCAGGCAAGCTTCTGGGACTGGTTTATCTGGGGACAGACAGGAAACTGGAGATTTGGGGTGGAACCCCTTCTGCAGGGATTAACTAAGTCACAGAATTCCCAGAGCCGAACCTCACCTCAGGTCTTGCCGCACCCTAAGCCAGAATTACTGCCTTCACCCCACCCCGCATTATCCCAGCTCAGTTAGTGCCTGATGTGGGGGAGAGAGGAACATCCCAATGGGATCTTTAGACCTCTCCCTCCAACAAACCAGGGTACATCTGGGGTTCTCTCCCAAGGAGGGGACACAGAGAGAAGTGACCAGCTCCTCATTTTTGATGCCATACCAAAAAAGTCCAAACCTACTGCTGTGGCCGTTGCTTCCAACTCGTGGAGACTTCTTTACTGCACCCTTTAGAAGCAGGTCACCAGGCCTTTCCTCCTTGGTGCTGCGGGTGACCACCAACTAACTTTGGCTAGTAGCCATGTGCTCAACCATTGGTGACACGCAGTCCTGACTTGGATCCCAGTCCCTTACTCGTCATCTCTACGAACACGTGAACTCAGAACAATGGCTCTTGTATTTCACTGAGCATCGAAGCCAAGCGCAAAGCAGACAGCTCAGCCTCACCCATGAGACACTGACTCAGGAGACCTGGGTGGGAGCCAGGAACCCGCTGGTTTACAAGCTTCCCAGGGAATTCCCACACAGGGGGGCCTAGGACTCTAGCTGGAAAATGCTCACCCGAAGGGTAGAGACCTAAACGGCCAAGCAGGAATGCTGGGCTCTCCAAGTGCTAGGCACTTCCTGCCCGGATAAAATGCCCACCTTCCTTCAAAGTCCCACCAACAGCTTCTGGCAGGCAGCATCTCCCAGGAGGATGGAGCCTTCTTGACGTCCACTTGCTAAAGAGGTGACCTTTTCTGAGTGACCATCAAGTCCACTCTGCTTCATGGAGACCCCATGTGTGTCAAGTACAGCACTATTCCATAGCATTTCAGTGGGTGCTTTGCAGAAGCAGATCACCACCTTTTTTTGTCTGAGGCACCTCTGGGTGGACTTGAGGCTGCAGCCTTTGAATTAACTAACAAGCAAGCATGCACCCCCCAGGTACTTCCAGTACCAAAGCCTAGGACCGCCAAGTTGATTCCATGCTATCATGACAACCCTTTGTTCTTACAGAGGGGACTTCATCAGGGTTTCTCGGCTGCCATCATTTGATTGTGTGGATCACAACAAATTATGGCTGGTATTCGAAAGAATGGGAATTCCAAAATGCTTGACAGTACTCATATCGTACCTATTCACAGACCAAGAGGCAGTTATTTGAACAGAAACAAGGAGACACCCTGTGGTTTAAAATAAAGAATGGCGTATATTAAGTTTATTTCCTTCCACCATATGTACTCAATCTGTGCTAAGCAAGTAAGCAAGGAGGTTAGACTATACGAAGAACTTGGCATTAGGATGCGAGGAAGACTTATTAACAGCCAGTTATATGCAGATGACACAACCTTGTTCACTGAAAGTGAAGAGGACTTGAGGCACTTACTGATAAAGATCGACAATTACAGCCTTCCGTGTGGATGACACATCAACCTTAAGAAAACAAAAACACAACTATACCAATAAGTAATATCATGAAAAGGGGGAAAAAATCGAAGTCATCAAGGACTTCGTTTTACTTGTACCCACAATCAACATCCATGCAAGCAGGTCTTTAAGGTGTTAAAGAGCAAAGATAAAACTTGGAGAGGTAAGATGTACCTGATCCAAGTGATAGGACTCTCTCAATCAACTCATGCTGTGACAGCTGGTCAATGAACAAGGAAGACCAAAGAATTGATGCGTTGGAGTTCTGGAGATGGCAAAGAATACTGAGTATACCACAAGTTACCAGAAGAATGCAGAAATCTATCTTGAAAGAAATACAATCAGAATGCTTCCTTAGTAGGGAGGATGGAAAGACGTCATGTCACATTCTTTGGACGTGTTATCCAGAGGGGCCAGTTCCCAGGGAAAGACGAAGTCCCTCAAGGAGATGGACTGACACAGGGCCTGCACCAGAGGGGGTCAGATGTCCTGGTGATCCTGAGATGGCACGGGATTAGGCAGTGTTTCCATCTCTTGTGGCTCAGGGGAGCGAACTAATCAGCACCTAAAAACAACAAAGATCTTTATAGAAGCACACAACCAGCTCTTTCTTCTGTAACACCACTGGATAGGTTTGAACTACCAACCTTCAGGTGATTAGAGAAGTACTATTTCAAAGGATGCGCTAGCTGTTTGCACCACCTAGGCACTCCTTTCTGAAAACAGACGATGGGTGTGGTTTTTAAACTATTCCCTGTATAAGCAGGTGTTTAATAAATGATGAGAAACTTTCTTCTGAATTCATGTCCACTCATGTCAGCCTTGCGTATCCCAAACCCACTGCAGGTAGCAGCTATTCTGGGACAGAGGCATACGTAGCAAGGAGCTCAGAAGAGGGGAGAGAAAAGCTAATCGGCAAGGAGGGAAATTGGGTGGAACTGTTTGGTTTGTTCATTATTTTTCTATCTCCATTTTTTTCTCCTGACCAGAGGAGGGCCTAGGCTGGACCAGGTTTGGCCAGAACCCTGGACTTACCTGCCTAATGATCTCAGATGGGCTTGCTGTTTGAAATGTTCATGTTCAAGGTGCAAGTCTGCACCCAGCACCTAAGAGCAGAGGTGAGCTGCCCTCTGATGACGCAGGGGACATTTCCTCAGCGCATGTTGTTGGCTGCTGTTAAGGTTGCCCTCAAGTAATGCAGCCCAGAAATGCACCATCACCATAATCCACTGCATAGAGGACTGGCATGGCCCATATTTTTGAGATAGAAATAAGCCTTTCTTCCTCATCTGCCCTAGTCTGGCGTGTTCTCTAACAGGAGGTGTGTGAGGTGTACGGGAACTGACCTCTTCTCTCCCATATGTTGTTAGGTGTTGCTCGTCCACTACGGCTCCCAGTGACCCTATGAACAGCAGATCTGAACCTTGCCCTGTCCTGTCATCCTCTAGTATGCTCAAGTCCGTTGTTAAAATCAGTGTGTCAGTCCATCTTGTTGAGGGCCTTCCTCTCTTCCCTCTTCTCACCTTTCCAAGCATGACGTCTTTTTCCAATGACTGACCCCTCCTAACAGCATGCCCAAAGCACGCAAGGCCAAGTGTCACCATTCTTGCCTCTAGGAAGCACCTTGGATGCACCTCCGTATTTGTTCTCTTGACAGTCCATGACGTAGTACTCTTCTTCAGCATCACAGTTGGAAAGCATCAATTCTTCTGTCATCCTTACTCAACTGACTGTCCAACGTTTAGATGCATAGAAAGTAACGGAAAAGACTATATAGTTCAAGCGTACCTTAGTCTTGTTTGTACCTTAATCTTTAGACTGACGTTGCTCTCCAGCACTTTGGAGAGGCCCCTGACAGCAGATTTCTCCAATGTAACACAACTTTTGATTTCTTCATTGCTTCCATGAATGCTGATTGTGGAACAAAGTAAAATGTAGTCCTTCACGACTTATCTATCATGATGATGCTTCCTACTGGTCCAGGGGTGGCGTTTTCCTTTCCTTGAAGTTTTTGATCTTCCTCAGGAAGTGCTTCAAGTCTTCAGTTTCTGCATGTTAAGGCCCTGTGAATCTCAGAACACACTCTCACATTGTTGTTAAGTGGAGTACCATTCATAGCAACCCTATGAACAAAAGATCTGAACTCTGCCCTATCCTGTGTCATCCTTGTCATCCTTGGCACCTTTGAGTCCACAGAGGCAGACATTGTACCAATCCTCATTTAGGGTCTTCCTTCCTCTTCTTCATATACTCCACCTTTCTAAGCAGGATGTCCATCTCTGAGGAATAAACATCTCCTAAGGTCAAGGACTGCCTTATATATGGACTGAAGCTCAACATCAAGAAAACAAAAGTTCTCACCACTGGGCCGATTAGCAGCATCATGATATATGGTGAAGAGATGGAGATTGTTAACAGCTTCAGTTTGCTTGGATCCACAAACAACACTCTTGGTACCAGCAGCCAGGAAATTAAAAGAGGAATTACACTGGGAAGGTCTGCTGTCAAAGACCTCTCCGAAGTATTGAAGAGCAATGTCGTCAATCTGGAGATTAAGGTGCACCTGATCTATCCCATAATCTTTGCAATTATTTGCTGCGTGTCAGAAAGCTGAACAATGACTAGGGATGATAGAAGGAGAATTGATGTCTTTAAGCTGTGGTGCTGGAGAGGAGTATTGAATATATCATGGACTGCTAGGAGAACAAACAAGTTCATCCTGGAGAGGGTGAAAACAGGCTGCTCTTTGGAGGCAAGGATTCTGAAGCTTCGTCTGACATACTTTGGACATGTTGCAAGGGAGGGACCAGTCCTTACAGAAGGACATCATGCTTGGGAGTGGGGAGGGACAGCACAAGAGAGGAAAACCCTGGATGAGATGGATTGATTCAGTGACTAGGGTAATGGGAGTAGGTGTGTCAGAGACAATAAGATTGGCACAGGATAGAGCAGGGTTTAGGGCTGTTCTGCATACGGTCGCTAAGAGTCTTAAGTGACTCAATGGCACATAACATGTCTAAAATATGTGAAACGAAACTTCACCATCTTTGCCTCCAGGGAACACTGGTTGCATTTTCTCCACAATTTATGTTTTTCTTTGGCAATCCATGGGACATTCAGCACTGTTCTCCAACACAATTTAAATGCATTGATTCTTCTCCTGTCATCCTTAATAATTGTCCAGCTCTTAGATGCATAGCAGATGAATGGAAAGACTGTAGCTTGACTCTGACACCTTAGTCTTTAAAGTGACATCATTGCTCTTCAGGACTTTGGAGAGGTCCCTGACAACGGAGTCAGTGCTGTAAATCTCCTTATCTCCTGACTGCTGGTACCAAGGGTGTTGACTGTGGATCCAAGTAAGATGAAATTGTTGACAATTTAAATCTTTTCTGTTGTTCTAACAGAGTAAGAGAATACAGTATGGTTTCAAATCAGGAAAGGTATGCATCCAAGCGCTCTCACATAGGAGGTGAGAATTTTATCCTTGAATCACCGCTGCCTTTCAAAGACCAGCCTAACTAGCTGCTTAGGCTGTGTTGTGGACTGGGGATGGAAGATCGAATTCTGCAGCGGTTCCAGGATTTGGACTCACATCCCAGGGGCGGCAGGATGGATTGGATTATAAAGTCCCCCAGGATCTGGCTGGGAACTCGCTGTCCATAACCTTGGCCCTGTTTGCCGAAGAAAAAGGGTCACGTAGGAGATCCCGAGGGCCCCACAGTGGCCCGAGCCCCGCTCTTTCCCTCTGGCTTGTCCTCGGCCAACCCCGAGCTTGTTGAGACTGGCCGAGGTGCGAGGGCTTCCCACAGGTGCCTAAGTATGGTTAGGAGGCGCCACCACATTGTGAGACGGGGGCTGGGCGGCAATTATGCGTAATAAGGATCCCAAGTAGGAACTTTCCATACGAGGAAGGCAATTCTGGGAGGGTGTGGGTGCCATCCAGTCCCAGGCCAGAAAGAGCTGGTTTGACAGAAAACAACCAACACCGACTGCGGTGAGCGCATGCGCAAGGGAAGTAGCGCGCTCGGCCAGGCCGCCCCTGCTATACGCATGCGTGCTCTTCTCTTTGCCCCCCTCACTCCGAAGACCGATCGATTCCCGCACAGCGCCCCTTGCCGGAGCGCTGGGGAACTCGCGCATGCTCAGCTGAGGGAAGCTGGTGCACGTTGCCAGCCGCGAGCCCTAGGTGGCGTCAGCCCTCCGGCTAGGACGAAGCACGCACGCGCGGAAGTCCCCATGCGCTAAGGGCGGGTGCGCGCCGCGAGCATGGGCTGTGCGGGCTAAGACGGCAGCTCGGCGGGGTCATTTGAGCGCAGGCGCAGTGCGGTGTTTGTCTGCCGGACTTGACGGGCGGCCGGGCGGTGTGCGGCGGCGGCGGCGGCGGGGAAGATGGCGGCGTCCTCCCTGGAACAGAAGCTGTCCCGCCTGGAAGCAAAGCTTAAGCAGGAGAACCGCGAGGCCCGGCAGAGGATCGACCTCAACCTGGATATCAGCCCCCAGCGGCCCAAGCCCAGTAAGCACGGCGGCGTGGGGGAGGGGGCGGGCGAGTCGGAGCGCGTGCCACGGAAGGCCCCGCCCTCGCCGCCAGGCCCCGCCTCCGCTTCCGGGGCGCTGGCGCTCCGCCTCTTCTCCGCCCCCCCGCGGTCGGAGCTTAGCAGGAGAGGGTCACGGTGACCCGGGGGCTTGGGGCTAGCGGGGACCACGAACCAGGACTGTCCCCTCCCCGTGGGGTGGCCCGCTCCCGATCTGGGAGCCTCCTGCCCCAGGTGAGGCCTCCCCACCTGATGACCCGCCCATCACCCTCCTGCGAAGAGGCTGTCACCTACCTTGAGCCCGCTCCCTCGCCTCCATGCGTCTGTGACCACATCTCGGTCCTCCCACAGACAGGCTCGTCTCTTAACGTCCAGATGATCGACTGACTGTGGCAAGACGACACCCCCGTCCCCACCTGGAACCCTGTCCTCCGGGGCTACGTACGGTCCCTTGACAACCTCTAACTCCTCCATCCCGTTGGAATTAGAGAATTCACTCACTTCTCCCCGTAACCGTGTCCAGCGCTCCTTCCTCCCCAGCTTGGGACCTTGTCAGTGGGGGCCGGGCAGACAGTTCTCCCCCACTCTTTGGGCCGAGCGTCACCGGGAACCCCGCAGACCCCCCTCTTGTCCCTTCTGACCACGCGTACCCCCATTGTCTTGACCACCTAGTGACTGTGTAGCTCCTCAGAAATCGACACTCCACCCTTAGCCGAGTGACTGGGTTCCCTTTTTCCTGCCCCTGACACACACACAGCTGGCCTGGGGGGGGGGGGTCACTTGTGGTCGTTAGGACTGGCCATCCCAGCACAAGTCCAACGTCCTTTCTGGCCATCTACTGTGCCTGCTGTCCGAGCAGCATGGCATATGCACACCTGGTCTGGGATCCCCGTGACAGCATCTCGTCTCCTCGTTATACCCCACAGAAGGCACCCTTATTCTCCCAACTATAAAGAATCACCTTTCCTACTCCCTGCCCCCTAGTCCTGTTACCTTCTTTGCCTCTTGACCAAGCACACTGCCTTCTTGTACTTCCCATGTGACTTGGGGATGTTGCCAGCATCCCAGTTTTAATAGCTGTGATACCTCTGGGTAGGGTCCTCAGGAAGCAAGGAGAAAGTACCTCACCATATATAATTGCCCTGCCCACTTCTCCCTTACTTGGCCTGACTCCCCATATGGCTGGGCCAGGCGCACACCCCATCTATCTCCTGGACATGGCTCAGCCTGGGCTTCTCACTGCAGAGTATCGTCAGCCTCTTGGTGTTGGAGTTCAACACCACCTGGGCTACGAAGCTAAGCCAGACAGGAAGGCCCTTAACTAGGCTCTCAAGTGCCATCTCCCCATTCGCAGCGTGGGCGAAGCAGGACTGGGTGGGCACCCGGGGTGTCTCTGTGTGGGTGGCTGGCCCAGGAGACCCCGCCCCAGGAGGGGATCAAGGTGGCAGGCAGCCCTGAGGAGCCCACTCCAGGCATCTGTGTCTCGTGTCCACTCCGTCCCCTCCTCCCATCTCTGTCAGTCTCTCCCCATCTCTGCAGTTTGGTTCCTTGCGCCTTCCCGCTGCTCATTATGATTTGATTTCTTTTCTTTTGGACAAATCAGTTGTTTCTGTTGTGATTTATTGTGGTGTTGTGTTGTTTTTATTTTTTCTTCCTTCTCCCCATCCAGTTATTGTGATCACTCTAAGCCCTGCTCCTGCCCCGTCCCAACGAGCAGGTATCAGCCTTTTGAACATCGCCGCTTGGACCTCTGCACCATTGACCTAACGCTGTCCCGGCCGCAGAATGCCCTGCCCGCCACCCCGTCCCCCATGCTCTGTGCGTGCTCGTGTCCCCTCGGCCCGTGCCCACCTTCTCCTCCGCTCCCTCATCCACATGTGCTGTAGTGGCCCTGCTGGCCTCTTCCTCTGTCTTCTCACCTCCTGCTCTCCTCCCTGTCTCCTTGGCTTAAGGAGTGGATGCCCGCTGAGTGGAGTCACACGAGGGGTGTGTGTGGTGCCCACATGAGAGAGGGAGGGGTCCAGGTTCTTGGCTGCATGTGTGTTTAATGTCCACCAACAATTCCATGAACATGATTGAGCACCTGCTCTGTGCTGTGGTCTGGGGGCGCAGCAGTGAGCAAGCTGGCCAAGTACCTCTCCTTACGGCAAGGTCTCTCCGGGTGGACGGCGGCCAGGGGACAGTAAACCAGTCAGTCACCTGTTAGGGAAGAGAAGGGAGGGAGGGAGTTAGTCCTGCTGCGCTCCCCGTGTCACAGTTCAGATACGTGCACATTCTGTGTACAAACAAGATCGTCTGTGGAGAGAGGGACTAGGGTGAGGAGTCTGGCCTTGGTGGTGATCGTGTGTGTGCGGGGAAGCTTACTGGCCACCCTGGTATTTCCCTGGCACGTGGTGACGGTTCGTGCCCTGTGTGTGCATGCGTGTGTGTAAGCGTGTGTGTGTACACATGTGTATTGGGGCCCTTGGCCCTCTCACTCCAGCGTGTGTGTGCTCGCTTGCTCTCTATCTCTCTCTCTCTCTTTCTCTGTCTCGCGCGCACTCGCTTTCTCTCTCTCCTCCCTCCCTCTCATTCACTCTTGCTGTCACTCTCTACCCTCCTAATCTGCCATGTATCACATCACCATCTCAGTGATCTGTTCTCAGGGCCTCTGTGTCTCCCTACTCCACCCCACCTTGGGCACACCCCATGAGTCCTCAAATGTCCCAGCTGTGCTTCAGAGGCAGTGGGATTGGCTGGAAGCACCTGTCCCCAGGGCAAGCATCATTCCCTATGCTCCAGGGCAGCCTTCAGGGGACGCGGGGACCTGTGTAAGGGACAGGACCAGTAAGGTTCTGTAAGGTGCAGAGAAGGAGGGGATGTGGTCCTTGCCTCCCAGGAGAGCTGGCAGTGCAGAGAGTAGAGGGGACCAGACAGCCCACCAGTTAGCATCTCCCTCACGAGCACCTGGAGTGGGGAGTAGGGCAGCACAGAGATCCTCAGGGACTCTGCAGGGTTGCTGAGCTGGAGAGAAGGGGTTGGGACTCTGATTGTGGCCACAGTTGGAAGCAGAGCCATGTCCTCTGCGACCCAAGTCCTTTTCTTGCTCCTGCCTGGCCCCACAGGACCTGTGCCTGACCCCCAGGCCGGCAGGGCAATGTCAGGTACCGGCCCTCTCTTTCCAGCTAGATCAAGGCCCTACCACCAGTATCTCCAGCATATTGGCCTTGACTTGGTCTCTTGGGCCATGTGTCCAAGGTTCTGCAGAGCTTTGGAAGAAAAATTGGGTTCAAGTTGGGAGCAGAAGTAGGGGCCAAGTTAGTGGTCCAAGAGGCAGGAGGGAACCTTGTAGGTGCTTCTAGTCCTTCCTGACCAGTGACTTCATCTCTAGACAGACACCAGGGTGCCAGGATTCACTGAAGATCCAGCCTGTTTCTCCTAGTTCCAGAACCTCGCCCGTACCCTGTCTTCTGCACCCCCTCTTTGTTGCCCACCTAGCCTGGGGTGGGGTGGGGCAGGGCTTCAAGTGCCCCAGGAGATGGCTCTCGTGGCCCAAGTCAAGTGGCTCATGTCAAGTGGTCTCTTCTGGGCAGCTGGGCCCCAGGTCTTGACTCCTATCTGTCTGTTCCTGTCCCTTGTCCCATAACACCACCCACCCTGGGTGTTTGCTGCCTGCCCGCTGCCTGCTCGCCTGCCTGTAGCATGCCTGAGCTGTCCGCATGCAGGCTGCTGGGGGGGACCTAGCCCCCTGCCTGGCCCAGCCCCACTTGCCCCTAGTCCTGTGGCCTCTCCCTCCCCCAGGACACAGGCAGCAGCCCTGTGGGTCCCAGCTCTGCTGGCCTGGCTGGCAGGCTCCCAGACTACCCTGCAGGCCAGAGAGTGGCCCTAGATCCAGGAGCACACCAAAGCCTGGGCCGGCCCCATATCTGCACCCCTAGTTGCTCCACCTGGCTCCCACATCCACGCCCCCAGGTGCTCTGCCTGGCTCCCATGTCCACATCCCAGGTGCTCAGCCTGCCTTCCACATCTGCACCTCCAGGGCTCAGTCTGGGTCTTGTTCCCTTCCGGCTCTGTGCTGCCCTCAGCCCGATCCCAGGCTGATACTGGCATCCTTCCCCTGAGCTGATCCAGATTGTGGATTTAGCTCCTAGGTCTGCTTCCTGGGTGGAGGTGGAGACTGAGGGTACAGTGGGGCCACTTGGCAAGGAATACCATCAGATCTTAGCTGCTAGCATAACTGTGGGGATGCTCTTGCAGCTTTTGCAAACCCCAGCCCCGTTAGATGGGGAAGGGAGTGGAGAGCGAGTATTGTGAGAACAGCCCTCGGGTGGATGTAGACAGTCCCGACCCTCCAACCCAGAAGGGCAGGCAGGGGTTTTCGCTGGTCCTTCTGGGGCCTGGGAGGGTACTGTGAAGGCCCAGGGCCTCACCTTTCCCTGTCCTGACTCTCGCCCGCCCAGCCCTGCAGCTCCCGCTGGCCAATGACGGGGGCAGTCGCTCACCATCCTCAGAAAGCTCTCCACAGCACCCCACACCACCCGTCCGGCCCCGCCACATGCTGGGGCTTCCGTCTCCCTTTTGCATGCCCCGCAGCATGGAGAGGTGAGCTGTGGACGGGAGACGCGTGTGGGAGGGTCTCTCTATCGGGAGGAGAGTGATTAAATGTGGGCCAGCCTGGAGGGCAGGGGCTGGGGCTGGGGCTAGCCACCAAGTGCTCAGGCTTCCTTCCAGCACCTTCTCCCTGTCCCGCCAGCCTTGAGATTGACCAGAAGCTGCAGGAGATTATGAAGCAGACTGGCTACCTGACCATTGGGGGCCAGGTATTCACTTCTCCTTGGTACTGTGGGGTGGTTAGGTAGCTGGGCTGGCTCTCCTTTTGGGGTTGTCAGGGACCTGGGGGACCCTCCAGCCCTCACTCTCCTCCCAGCGCTTCCAGGCAGAGATCAATGACCTGGAGAACCTGGGCGAGATGGGCAGCGGTACGTGTGGCCAGGTGTGGAAGATGCGCTTTAGGAAGACAGGGCACGTCATCGCGGTCAAGGTGAGCGGCTGCACTCCTGGCTCGTGGGCCCAGAGCCTCGCAGGGCACAGGTGACTGAGGCGTCTCGCTCTCCTGTGCAGCAAATGCGGCGCTCGGGGAACAAAGAGGAGAACAAGAGGATCCTCATGGACCTGGACGTGGTGCTCAAGAGTCATGACTGTCCCTACATAGTGCAGTGCTTCGGGACCTTCATCACCAACGTGAGCTGGCCTGCTAGCCCCGCCCTGTCGGCTGCCCACCCCTCTGGCCCTGCCCTGTGGGCCCCGCACCCCGGCGGCCCTGCCCTGTCAGCACTGTGCCCCAGCGGCCCCATGCCCACAGACCCCTTAGAGGGATGTGCCTGGAGAGATCTGCACCTGTATGTGGGCTGTACTTCTCTGCCCAGCTCCAAGTGTGCCCCTAGCCCTTCCCCGGGACCTGAAGCCTCCCTGGGGCGGGCAGGTGGGTGCAAGCCTGCCCAAGCCACCAGGTGTGTGCACCTCTGCAGACAGATGTCTTCATCGCCATGGAGCTCATGGGCACGTGTGCGGAGAAGCTCAAGAAGCGGATGCAGGGCCCCATCCCCGAGCGCATCCTGGGCAAGATGACGGTGGCGGTGAGTCGCTGGTGGGCGGAGGCCCAGAGTTCCCCCGCGAAAGGCCAGTTACTGACACTTTCCTGTCTCTAGATTGTGAAGGCCCTCTTCTACCTGAAGGAGAAGCACGGCGTCATCCATCGCGACGTCAAGCCCTCCAACATCCTGCTGGACGAGCGGGGTCAGATCAAGCTCTGCGACTTTGGCATCAGTGGCCGCCTCGTCGACTCCAAGGCCAAGACGCGCAGTGCTGGCTGCGCTGCCTACATGGCGGTGAGCTGGGCCTGGGCTGGGGTCCACAGAGGGCAGGCGGGGCAAGAACAGCCTCAGTAGAGCTTCTCCTCCTTCCCCCACAGCCTGAGCGCATCGACCCCCCGGATCCCACCAAGCCAGACTACGACATCCGTGCAGACGTGTGGAGTCTGGGCATCTCGTTGGTGAGTGGGGCCGCTGCCTCCACAGGCCGGGCTTGGGGGTTCCCGGGGACGAGAGGGCAGGCACACACCTGTCCTCGGCTCTCCCCAGGTGGAGCTGGCCACTGGACAGTTTCCCTACAAGAACTGCAAGACAGACTTTGAGGTCCTCACCAAAGTCCTCCAGGAAGAGCCCCCCCTCCTGCCTGGGCACATGGACTTCTCAGGGGACTTCCAGTCCTTCGTCAAAGACTGGTGAGCAGGTGTCTTGCCGTGGCCCTTGGCCCTGGGTGGCAGTGTCTGGTCTGGAGCAGGAGGAGGATGGAGGAGGGCTGGAGCTAGTACCTGGGGAGACAGGAGTCTCCCCTGAGTGAGGGGCAGCAGGACCTGGAGGGGGTTTCGCTTGCTGACCCTCATGCTGGCACCTCTGACAAGCAGGGGTCCCAGAGGAGATGGCTTGTTTTCAGAGAGCACATCGTCTTCCTTCATGGGAGCCGCTGCTAGGTCATTGGGACGCCTCACAGACCACTTCTTCCCTGGGGAGCCCGCTTCCCTCCTGGATTGAACCTGGGGGCCTGAGTGCGGCCTTTTGCTTCCTCAGCACCAGCCCTTGTGGCACTGTGCAGGGGAGCACCTGGGGGCACCCCCTTTTCACCTCCTCTCACCAGGAAGCTTCAGGACACACAAGGGTAGGGTCTACCTGTCAGCCTAGGGCCGTGAAGAGGCCTGCAGCTCCCCTACCACAGGTCTCGCGGACCCCAAGCCCCAGGGAGGACAGTCTCCAGCAAGTGGCAGACTGGGGCCCTCACAGGCCCTCACCTTTCTCCATCTCTCCTTCCCCAGCCTTACTAAAGATCACAGGAAGAGACCAAAGTATAATAAGCTACTTGTGAGTACCTCTCCCTCTCGCAGCCCCACCTCTGCCCCAGCCCTGCTGGCCACTCTGGTTCCCCAGGGAAGCCCCTCACACTGAGCCCACCCCTCGGTCCTCCAGGAACACAGTTTCATCAAGCGCTACGAGACCCTGGAGGTGGATGTGGCGTCCTGGTTCAAAGACGTCATGGCAAAGACCGAATCGCCGCGGACTAGCGGAGACGTGAGCCAGCCCCACCTGCCCTTCTTCAGGTAGCTGCGTGGCGGCGGCCAGCCCACAGTGGGCCAGGGGCACGGCTGTAGGCCCCCCTTCCCCGCTGGCTGCCCAGCTGCCCGCCAGGGGAGACCTGGGACCTGGAGGCCGCCGAGGGCTGAGGACACAAAGTAGGGGGTGTCAACTCACCCCGAGCTCCCCCGCTCAGCAGCGTGGACAGATGGGCTTCCACGGCCGGAGCCTCTGTAGCCCCCGGGGCCCGCCGGCTGAGCACGCCCCCTGACAGACACTGTGAACGGAAGACAGCAGGCCATGCTCAGACTGCTATTTATTCAGTTGTGACCTCTGGACTAAGTCGCCCCCAGAGCCCGGAAGAGAGCCGCGCCGCCTCCCACACCCCTACAGTCCCCTTGCCCTGCCCCAGGCACGTGTCACCACCTCTATTACTTCCTCCTCGTCCCTTCAGTCCCTGTGTGGCGCTCGCTCTCTCTTTCCCTCCTGGTCTCTGCCCCTCTCCTGGCCCAGACCAGGGCTCAGCAAGCCCCCTGGTGGGACCGAGGGATGGTGGAGGCACAGCCTGATCCCAGGTTGGCCAAGGTCTCCATCACTGCCAGTGGTTGGTGCCCTCGACCCCATGAGGTATCTGGGCATAGGGACTGCTGCCAGGCCGGGACTGGGTCTGTCTCTTTGATCTCAGGGGGTCCTTTTTGGAGCTTATTGTATTTTGTTGTTCTTGGTGGGGTATTTGGGGTGCAGGGGAGGAAGAGCGCTCATTCTGGGGGGTTTGTTGGTACCTCCAGAATCTTTACCAAAGTCACGTTGAGCTGCTTGTGGTGCAGCCCCTGTCCACATGGGCACAGTGGGCTGGGGTCTGGGCCTCTGGCCATGGCCCTGTCTCAGAGGTGGGGTCTCACCCCTAGGGGCTGGCCTCTGACCACAGTGCAGGTGAGTTGAAGACCTCAGGGCAGGGCCTCAGCTACTTACTACGCAGGACGATCTGGGAAGTGGATGCAGGCGAGGGGAGCGGGGAGCGGGGCGGTGGAATCAGGATTGGGGCCCAGGGAGGCCAGGTGGAAGGCATAAAGTGGACGTGGAGGTTCGAGGATGTGTGACAGGGACAGAGGTGAGAGAACTGGAGTGAGCAAAGGCCAGGCCGCAGAGTGCAGTTGGCAGAGATAGCTGGGTCTCCAGATTGCCCGAGTGTCCCTCATGTACCGGAGCTGGCCACCTCCCAGTCCCGCCCGGGCCAGGAGGGCACAGTGGCTGGAGCAGAGGAGGAGGGTGTCCTTTTTGTTGGTGATGCATGCAAATCAAGTGGAAAACAAAATAATGAAACAAAAAAAGAAAAAAAAAATACCCCACAAACAAATACCAACACCAAAGGTGAGGCACGCTGGCTGTAGCTGAAGCAATATAGGCTTAGGTGTCACTGTCCTGTCCTAATAGTCACAATGCCGCATGTTTAGTGCTACAAGTTCTCCTCTGCCCCGGAGGGGAAGGCTGCCTTCTGGGGGGCCTGCTGCTCTGGGTCCCCTTTGTAAGGGGCAGGGGCCCCCAAGCCTGGCCCTCGCCCTTTGCCGCTAGGCCCAGCCATGGGGGCCTCAGTGGGTGCCGCCAGGCCACTGGCTGGCCCCAAGGTCAGCACCGGCCCGCAGCTGAGCGGCCTGGTGTGGTTATTATTTAACTTTATTTTCTGTTTTGTGAGTGTGTGTCCTCTGCCCGCCCCCTTCAGTGTTAAGCAGGTTCCCTGGGGGAGTCTCCTGCTCCCCCTCCCTGCGTCTCCCCATCCCCTGCGTCACCAGCTGTCCCAACTGACTGGGCAGAGGGTGGTCAGGGGTCTAGGGGGCCTGGCCCAGCCCAGCCCTGCAGCCCCCACCCCCTTCTCAGGCCACCAGTATTGCCCTGACCCTTTTTAAAACAAAATACCCTTGTTTGTAAACCTTTAGATGCTTGTGAATAAACCCCATCCTTCCCCCTACCAAGTGATGCCACGTGTGCGGGTGTAAGAGACGGGAAGATGCAGCCTGCTGGGTGGGGACGTGGGGTCTGGTGGAGGGCCCTCAGTTAACAGGGAGTAGCCATTCCACTGTGGCAAAGAGGGGACTTGCAGGTAAAGTGGGGCTTGTAACTCCCAGTATTGGGCCAAGAGGGTAGGGTGCAAAAGTGCCTAACTACAAGCTGAAGGGTGGGCTGTTGAGATGCAGAAGGTCACAGCCCTGGAAACCCCACAGAACACAGGTGCACCCTGCACCAACCGGGTTATCGGGAGACAGGCAAAGGGTTTGTGTTTTAAAAAAATACCCAACTTGATTTCATTCTGAGCAGATACCCCCAATAGACAGGGCAGGAGAGGAGCCAGAGATCCCTGGCTGGCCTTGGGCCCCAGCTCCACTGTCCACTCAGTCTGCCACCCCCGCTCCCTGCCACCCACTGGCCATGGCCACCTGCTCACCAGCCTGGCTAGGCGCTGCCCGTCTGGTCCCCCTGCACTGGTGCCCTGTTGTGCAGCATGGGGGGCACTGCACTCCTGCTACAGGCCCTGCCCCTGGGGACCAGCACCCTGTCCAGCAGGCTGCCTGGTATGTACAGGTAGAGCCGCCATGTCCCATCACTCAGGGCCTTGCCCTTTTTCATTCGACCCTGTCTTCTGCCCACCTGGAGTGTATGTGGGGATGACTTCTAGGCGAAGTCCCACACTCGGGGTGATGGCCAGGGCACGGGTTAGGGATACTACTCTCTTTTTCCATTGTGTACCATCAAATTGGATCCAAGTGGCACAGGAGGAGAGTGAACCTTGCTTCTCCAGCAGAGCATCTGCGGATTCGAACCAAGCAACTTCAGGATTACAGTGCAGCTTCTTGCCACTAGGCCACCAGAGCTCCCTTTTTTTGGGGGGGAGGGGAGGTGCTGCTGCTCTTATGGAATGAACATTGGGACAGTGAGTTAGAGGTTAAGGAGCACCCACATGCTGGGACTTCTGGCAATACCTGTTGGCGTCAGGGTGTGAAGCCTGGCAAGCTGTAAAAACCTTGACCGTAGCCTTGTCAGTCTGGCCAGAGGAGCTCAGTCCTTCGCACAGTCCTCCCTTTAGAAAAAGGAAAGTTAGCTGGCAGTCACCCAGCCCGGCTTGGAGCCCTGAAGACATCCTCACCCTACTAGAACCTGAAGTGCTAGAAGTAAGAGACCCGTGACTTCACCAAGCAGGGCCCTCACCAGTCGATGCCTTTCCTCAGCCTAGGGACCCCTGCCCCCATTCTACAGGTCAACCCCAGGGCAGGGACATCCTGGGTGGCCAGGGGGCTCATGGTCACAGTCATCTGTGCTGATGCCAGGCTGAGCACAGCGAGCTGGGGTCTGAAGTCACAGCCAGTGATAGAGACTCCTGCTCCGAGGATGTAAGGGACAGCACCCCAATTCCCCGCAGCACCCGGGGTTTGCTGCAGCCACTCTTAAGCCTGCAGCTGTTGGACACGGAGGACACATTTCCATGGCACGTCTTTGTGCAGGTGCGACCACCTGGGACGCCCAGGGCGGGTGGGAACGAGAAGGCCTGTGCTGACTGGGCCCCTGTCCCTCCAGGCTTCCCCGGCGCGCGTCTCCCCGCCCTGGGGCCTGACCCTGCAGCACTGCGCCTGGCTCTGGACCCCGCCCTAGCCCTGCTGCGACGGGGATGCCTGGCGACACCTCTGTCCTCTTCCCGTGCGCTCGGGTCCTCGGTGCTGCTGGCCCCATGCGCTTCAGCTTCTGCCTGTGCCGGTCTCCAACTCAGCCACTGCCACCGCCTCCGAGGAGTCCTCCAGCCCGTGCCTCCCACGTGGTCATTGCCATCATTAGTGCGTGACCACCCAGACAGAAACCCAGCATCTGGATTCGCTGCAGGGTGGAATGGGTCTTCAGCTGCTTGGGCAGAGCCTCTTGAGATTTAGGATCTGACGATGTTGGGGGCTTTGGGTGCAGAGATTGAAACCATCTCAGGTTGGGTGCTGCACTGAGCTCAAGGAGATGATGGCTTAAGGGCCAGGGGCAGGTGGACACTCATGGTCAGTGCTGAGGGGATGCTGGATGCAGGGGCTTGCTGGGGGGACCAAGAATGTCAGTGCTGGGAGAGCTGAGGTATTGTGGCCCTTGAAAGGAGGGCTTCTCCCACTCTGGGCACTGGATGTCCTGGTCTCATGGTGGGATGGGACTGGGATGGAGCTGGAGGGGTGAGTCTTGCAGGGGCCTGACGTGCCCTCTTGCTTGCCCAGCCCCCAGTGTCTCCTGCAGCATGAGGCAGGTACTGGCAACAGCAGTGGAAGTGGCGAGAACCTGAGCGCAGACAACCCCCACCTGCAAATGTTGAAGCAGCTCTTCGTGGTCACTGTGCCGGGGCTACCCCAACATGAGTGTGCAGTCCTGTCCTGAAGGGGGTCCTGGGACCAAGGAAGGAGGGTGCGATGGGCGCCTGGGTCCTCAATCTAGGCTCAGTGGTCACTTCCCCAACAGAGCATCCCAGAGATGTCCAGCTGGGCCCCACCGCCCTGGTGCCTGCCCCAGTAGTGGCACTGGTGCTGGCAGCCCTTGTCCTAGGGCTGCGCTGGCCTCTGGGCTCCGGCTGGTCTGTGTATATTCCGGTGTGATCCTGGGGGGGCTGGCTCAACACTAAGAGCAGTGTCCTCAGGCCTGTCCCAGGCAGCCACAGAAGCCCCCCGGGGGCGCCCTCAGGCAGGCCTAGTCTTTTCAGCAGCAGCGTCTCCCTTCCAGCACCTGTGCCCTGATACTTGTCCCTGAGAACCTCTCCCAGCCTAGGAGGCCTCAGGGAGGCAGGTGAGTGAGTGAGAGTGTATATTATCTAACACCATCTCTGTAACAACCTTCAGGCAGATACTATAAGGCTCATTTTATAAATGGTAAAAATGACCTGAAGTAACAGCATTTAGTGGAGCTGGGATTTGAACTCATGCAGTAGAGTCATGGTGGCAAGCTGGGAATGGTGTCTTCAGACGCTGGCCAGGCCCGACGCACATTGAGTCTGTGTACAACAGAACAAAACCCTGCCTGATCCAGCACGTTCTCACTGCTCCTCCGCTCCTTTGCTCTCTTAACTTCCCAGTTGTGATTGATGACCTTTTCTAAGGACTGACCCCGCCAGGTAACATGCCAAAATTACGTGAGATGGGAGTCTTGCTATATTTGCTTCTAAGGCCATGTTCTGTGTGCCATCGAGTTACCTACCCATAGAATGACTATGAACAACAGATCAGAACCTTACCCTATCCTGTGCCATCTTCCTGATCTCTGACATGCTCCCGGCCATTATTGCAGTCACTGTGTCAGTCCGTCTTGTTGAGAGTTTTCTAAGGGCATGTTGTTGTTGTCAGGGACTGTTGAGTATGACTCCTAGTTATCCTATGAACAATTCCAAACCCTGTCCTTCCCTATGTCACCCTCACAATCTCTGACACATTAAAGCCCTTTGCTGCAGTCACGGTGTCAATCCACCTGGGTGAGGGTCTTCTCCTCACTGTCCGCCCACCTTTCCAAGCATGATGTCCCTCTCCAAGAACAGCCTCTCCTAGCAACATACCTGAAGTATGTGAAGTGAAGCTTTATCATGTGTCTCCAAGGAGCACTCTGACCACACCTTCTCTAAGACAAACCTGTTTTTTCTTTTGGCAGTCCATGGGATAGTCAATACTCACCTCTAACACCACAGTTCCAAGGCATCAATTCTTTATCATCTTTACTCACTGTCCCGCTCTCAGATGCATTTTTTCAAGTGACTAAAAAGACTAGTGGCAAGAAGCTGCACTGCAATCCCAGAGGCACATGGTTCGAATCCACCAGATGTTCTGCCGGGAAAGGAGGGACAATCTCCTCCTGTATCAGTCAGATCTGATTTGACGGTACACAGACACATAAAATAATAATAAATTTTTTTTAAAAAGACCATGGCCTGAATCAGGCGCACCTTAGTCCTCAGGTTGACATCTTTGCTCAGTAATTTTCTAAGGTTAGAAGTGGGGGAAAATTACCACACAGAAATTACCTAACTCAGTTCATAGGCTTACAGGGAGGCCAGTGGTCAGAGGGGTTGGTTAGTTGGGGAAAAGATGGCTTGCACAGTGTCCCAGCAGTCACTCAGACTGAGCCACCTCTTCTTCGCAGCAGAACCAGTTCCCACTGCCCTCAGCTTCAGGCCGATGAGACCACAACTCCTGTGCCCCTCCTGCTCTTGTCTCCCTTCTGGGTACAAAACAAGCCTTCAACCTGATCTATGGAATCTTGAAGTCTGTGTGCACATGGGTGTGGGGATGGAGACAGGAAGAGGAGGTCCTGCAAGCTGGGACCAGGACTGGGTAGATTCCAGGCTGGAAGAGGTCAGGCTGGCTGGGGTAGATGTGTGTATGTGTGTGTCATACACACGTGTGCACACAGGCACCAGGGGACACTCTAGGGCATTTTGTCCCATGCAGAAAGTAACTTCTTTTTTTATTTTTGTTTTTAAATTTTTCTTTTTTTAAAATTAATTTTAATGAACGTTTATAGAGATTTTTTATTTCCATTCATTCATTGTTGCTTTTTTCTCCCTGCCCACCCCTCTCCCCAGTTTGCTCTTCTCTTTGGAAAGTAAAAGAAAAATTATTTCATTGGTATAGAATCCACCCCCTCCCACCCCAAATATACTCCACTATGCAACTTTTATTCTGGACTCTTGTCATAACCATAATACCCAGTCATATATCGCTTTCAAACAGTTCTCTCCCTCATCCGTTTCAATGTTTGTTGTTGTTAAGTGCCGTCGAGTCGCAGGCGACTCATAGCGACCCTATGAAGGAGAGTCCTCGACGCTTGGGTGCCTTTCATCCTCTCTCCCCAAGTTTATAGGGTTTCCAGAGGCAAGCTATTATGGAAGTGGATGCCACACCTCCTTCCACTCTGTTTCAATGCAGTATACATCATTTATCCAACTTTTCTCAGTCTTACCCCAACCCTGATGTCAGTCCTGGTTTACAACAGTGGCACTATGCAGTATTTGTCCTTTTATGACTGAGATATTTCACTCAGCATAATGTCCTCCAGGGTCACCCATTTTGAATAATGTTGCATGAGTTCCTTGTTTTTCAATGCAGCATAGCCTTCCATTGTGTGACTATACCAGAGCTTCTCTATCCGTTCGTTTCTTGATGGGCAGAAAGTAACTTCTAAACACACAGCTCTCCTCACACAAGCCCCACCAACCTTCCTTGTTCTCCACCCCCAGCGGCTTGCCCTGGTCCAGGCCTTCCCCTCAGGCCTCTCTGCCTCAGCCTCCTCGCTGGCCTGGCCTCTGCCATGCTCCTGGATTGCCAGCCTGGCTTCTTAACTCCCTCCTGCCTGAGCTGCTGCTTTCACTGCTCATTAGCTCAGGACGACCAGCTCCATTTTACAAATAGGCTAACAAGTTCAGAGAAGCCACTTGGTGCCTTCTAGCCAAGGTCTCACTATGACTCTGCACCAAGCAAAGCACAGCTGTTAGGTGCCGTCACTCACAGCGACCCCATGTTACCATTGGAGCTGGAGCCTAATCATAAATGATCATACTCATAGTTTTTAGAGGCAGTAAAATCGCAAGGGAGGAGACTGCCCGTCTTTCTTCCATAGAGGTTCTGGTGGGTTCGAACCGCTCAGCTCCTTACCACTGGGCCACCAGAGCTCCCTACACAGGGTTTTTATGTCTGTCATCCTTAGAGATCACCAGGTTTTTCTCCTGCAGAGCAGAGCCACTGGGTGGGATCGAACCATTGACAACCACTGTCCCACCGAGGCTCTTTAGAGAACAAAGTAGGACTTTTACACTCGAGATTGGAAATGAGAGAATAAGGGGTACGTTCTCGTTCGCCTGAGACCCAATTCTGGCTCCAGTCCCGGCCCCGCATCCTTCCCAGCCGAGCAGGTTCCCTTTGCGGTGGAAGCGCTTAGCCACGCCCCCTGCTTGCGGCCGGCCCCGCGCGGTGGATTCTGGTCTCGGAGGCTTTCGTAGCTCCACTTTAGGGCGTGGCCTCCGTGTTCCCAGGCCGGCAGTCGACATGAGGCCTCCGAAGCGGCTGCGAGCGCCTCCGTCGCGCTACCTGGGCGCGGCGGCCAGCCCCGCAGCCTGGAGCATTCGCGAGAAGCGGCAGCTGCTGCGACTACTGCAAGCACAGCGGGGCCAGCCGAAGCCAGACGTCACGGAGCTGGCCCGGGGACTGCCAGGTCGGAGCGAGGACGAGGTGAGGGCTGGGGCCTGGGAGACGGAGGCCGAGCAAGTGCGAGGGTGAGGCGTAGGGGCGGGACCGCCAGCAGGGGCTTTGGGTTTTAATGTATCGAGGTTGCGGCGAGATGGGGCGGGGCTATTCTGAGATGCCGAAGGCGAAGTCCATAGGATAGTGGGCGGGGCCATCTGGAGCCGGAAGCTGGAGGCGGAGTTAATAGGAGACTGGGCGGGGCCATCTGGAGATGGAAATCAGAGGCGGAGTTAATAGGAGACTGGGCGGGGCTGTCTGGAGACTACTGGAGTCAGGGTTAATGGGAGACTGGGCGGGGCTGTCTGGAGACTACTGGAGTCAGGGTTAATGGGAGACTGGGCGGAGCTATATGGCGACCAAGCCGGGGGCGGTGGTCTTTGGCGACTAACCCTGAGGCGGAGTTAATGAGAGAATGGGGCGGGGCTATCTACATACTTAAGCCGGAGGCGGGGTTAATACAAGGCTGGGCGAGGCTAATGCGGGAGGCTGGGGAGGGCGGGACGGAGGCGGGGCCAGTTCAGCTCAAAGTCGGGCGGAAGTATGAGGACGTTATGGGGTCGGGGAGGCCCCCCCCAAGTGAGTAGGAAGCGGGTGGGGAGGTGCGCAGGGAGGCGGAGGGGTGTGGGAGGATGGTCTAGAAGGGGGAGCTGCTAGGGGGCGTGACAAGCGTGGGTGGTGGCTTGGGAGATGGCAGGGAGAAAAGGACAGCTTGCACAATGGAGAGAGATAATAGATGGGACCCGAGCCAGAGCGGGCCAGGCCTTGACTCTCTTGCTCTAAGCTCGTCTGATTTAGGACCCTGACTCCTGCTTGGGTCTGCAGTCATTGGCCTGGAGATAATCTGGGGAGCAGTGGGGGTGCCCTGGGAGTAGAGAAGGACCAGTTTGTAGCAGTCTCTCTGAGCGGGCAGCAGGCTTTGGCTTCTCCCCAACCCCGGGCATGTGGAAGGACCACCGGACTGTTCTCTCTCCTCTAGATTCACCACTTCATCCAGCAGCTCAAAAGCCGGGTGGCCCGGGAGGCCATTCAGAAGTTGTATCCAAGTGGTCAAAGACGCCAGCCTCCAGCCCCTATAGAGGTGAGGCAGGTTTCAGGGCCAGGCCCCCCCCCCCCAGAGCTAGCCCCCCCGAATGTTAATTCGAGAGCTGAGGGGATCACCTGGTCAGGAGACCTTCCTGTTGTGCCCCTCACCCCCAGGTGTGGACGGATCTAGCTGGAAAGATAACGGATCCCGTGGAGGACGCCTTGACAGCTGCCTTCTCACAGGTACAGCCTCCCCCAGGGGCAGAGGACCAGACCAGGGTGGCCAGCTCTGTGGCGTTGGTGAGGGCGTCCGGAGGGCTTGGTGGAATGGACTCAGGTGGGGTGGTGGGGACCGCCCTGTGCTCCTTTGATGGTCTTGTCAACAGGTGTTCACCATTGCGGCCACGGAGCCTCTCAGCCTCATGCACTCCGTGCCTCCAAAGCCCACGCAGGCCCGGGGGAAGCCGCTGCTCCTCAGCGCCCCCCAGGGCCGAGAGACTACAGACCCTGAAGCCCCTGCCCCCGCCCCTGCTAACACTCCTGCTGAGCCCCCAGCTGGCTCCGCCTCCGAGATCCCCTTCACGGTGGACTTTGAGAAGATCTACAAGTACCTGGCAGCCCTCTCCCGAAGTGGCTCCGGACCAGAGCTCTCTGCGGCTGGTGAGCATGGCGCAGGGCCCTGCGGGTGAGTCCGAGGTGGTAAACTTGGCCCCTCTCTAACTCCTCCCTTCCTCAGAGTCATCTGTCATTCTCGACCTGCTCCTCTCGCTGCCTGAGGAACTGACTCGCCTACCCTGCACAGCCCTGGCCGATCACATGACTGGGGCCTACCAGCGCCTGACCACCCGCCAGCCCGGCCCAGGTGATGGAACCCCGGGACCCGAGACTGAGGATGGAGGCTCTGGCTCCAGGGGGCATGAAGAGCCCAGCCAGGCTACTCCCAAGATCCCTGCGAGGGCCGGGCCCAATGAGCCACAGTCACCTTGGCAAGCAGCTGGGGTCTGCCCTCTGAACCCCTTCCTGGTGCCTCTGGAGCTCCTGTGCCAGAGAGACAACCCTGCCAGCTGAAGGCCCTGGCAGGCAGAGGGCACAAAGGACAGTGTCCAGCCCTTCAGCTCAGGACAGCACTGGTTGGTTGTGAAGACATTTTGTGGATGGTTTGGAAAAGGTGCCTGACACTGCTGGCTCTTAGATGTTCTGGATGCCTGAAATCTCAGGAAGAACTGTAGAGAGGCTTGGCCACCAGTCTGTGATGGGCTTAGTTCCAAGGGGCCAGCAGATGACTGGGTGCCGGGAGGGCACAGGGACCTCCCAGGAGACAGATGAATGGACTCCGCCAGTGTCTCCTTTTCCCAAGAGTATTGTTCTCTGCACAGGGGGCTCCTCTCAAGTGCCTGCCATTGCTTTGCTCTCAGTCCTTCAATTTGCCCCTTAGATGGAAAAGATGCCTGGTGTCCCCTCCTGCCTGCTCACCGAGTCGAGCAATGCCCCTACCCTGCCCTAGTCTCCCATGGTGGAAAATAAAGTTCTTATCCATGTCTTTCTCTGTTTCCTCTCAGAGGGTTGGGAACGGGGGTACTATTGTGTGTGGATCACCTCTGCCCAGAGGCTGAGTCTGGAAAGAGGGCCGTTACCACCAGGTTTAGTCTGAAAATGCCTGCAGCGGCCTCAAGATTTGGCCATGAAGGAATCTTTGGAGACATTGAGAGGACAGGCCTGGGGGTCAGGGAGTGGAGGTGGCTTTTGAGAAGGGTTGAAAGGGGCTGCAGGGAGGAGCAGATTAAACTTCTGGGGACAGGTGTCTGCATTGGTTTTCAGAATAGGGTGACCGTGCATCACACAGGTGGGGAGGTCTGCAGAGGAAGGGCCCAGCAAAGCCCCCAGACTCCTCAGTCTCACCTGCCCTGTGGGGGAGGGGGCAGGGATCCAAGTACACACTCAGGCACCACCTCCTCCAAGCCTAACTGTAGTCTGTGCGTGCAGAGTTCCTTTTATAGCAACGCTCTTTCCCCCACACACTGCACACGGCTCCTGAGGGGGCCCAGCACCCCTCCTGGGCGGGCTGCTGGCGTGGAGCCGAGCTAGCGCACTCCGTGGGCAGAGCCCGGCACCAGGCCCACGGTTTCTAGGCGCTGTGGGTACTGGGGGGTGGAGGAAGGCTGCAGGTGCAGGGGCCGGGCCAGTTCTTAGAAACAGCCTTCACTGTGCACTTGGCACCTCTTCCCAGGAATCTCCGGAGAGGTTAAGTTCATCTCACTACCTGCTCTATTTCTGTAAATGGGGATCCTGGATGGGCCTTGAGCTCTCTGTGTGTGTGTGTGTCCTGGATGGGCCTTGAGCTGTGTGTGTGTGTGTGTGTGTGTGTGTGTGTGTGTGTC